AGTTCTCGTTTTCACTTCCATTAACTGATCGCTAACCTCAGGGAAGGAATTTACCATCTTCTGCAATGAAAGTTTACTCTGAATCTTCAAAAGATGATTGAAAATCTATCGGTACCTTAATACTTGGAAAGTGAAAGTGATTTGGCAATGGTTTAACACAAAACCCACTAACTGTCACTTTTATCCGTACGCAAGGTCGAAAAACGTATATGGCTTTCAATTTCAGTGGAACAGGATGAAAAATCGAGTGGAAATTCTAAACCCCAGGAATTTGGTGACGAATTACATTTAAAAAGGGGATATATGCACCACAGTCTAAACAACCTCGAAGTTAATCAAGCACAGTTGCTAGATACTGATGATATTTACACAAATTAGTCACTAGTAAGTAATCAAAGTGATTAGCTCTGGTCAAAGTCTGTCGATCAAGTTTCGCAGTATGAACACTCAGCGAAGTGATATGGTAAAGTAATGGACTGCATTTTAGTGTTAACCGTTGAGAGTCAGTCAACAGGAATCACTGAACCTAGGTTTCCTACTTGTTGGCACTCATCAATAATGCCAATTTCTCATGGTTATTGTTGTGATGCCCCAGTCTTGTATAAAACATAGTTATTGATCTGAACATTTTAACATGTCATTCCCACACCATTTTTACGGTATGACTATTAGTCTATTTCTGCCTCCATTGTAATGTAATTCACTGATTGGTTAACTTTTACTATGCGAATTTCTCGAATTGTGGACAAGGTCATTTTTGATGTACATACTTATTCACGTGTTTTGGAGTGATCATTATATTCTCAGAATAATACGCTCTCCCATCTGCCAGCTTTGGTCTTCTCTCTATTCGCCCAGGGGTTGCAGTCAGTGGCTCTTGCGTACCAAGTTAGCTGTCAGCTAAGCGCGCGTATTATATTCGTTCTGGAACACATACACATACCATTAGCCTACGAAACCATAACAGTTATAGATACACCTTTCTGATGAATGCCAAGAAATCACAAAACATAGGTCCAAGTCAACCTACTAATGGACTTCCAAAAAGTGACATTCCAAAGATGATATTCTGTGTATGGAATTAGGTTCTATTCAGTTATTTATTGTAGCAAAAAATGAAAAATAAGTCTGATACAAAATGTTGTATTCATTTTGGTGACTAGCAGTGGAAACCAGAAAGCACGTTTCGTCCCATCTAGGATTCGTCAGCTGGATGTACCTGCACTCCAATGAGTGGTGTTGTTCTCACTGAGACTCAAACCTACTACTCATCGCTTCAAACTTCACAGTGTTAGCCACCACTTATGTACAGGTATCATTTGTTGTTTTTTGATACCTGTAATTTCCCGTCGCTAGTTAGGGTAGAAGTGATCCACCTCTGATTCAAAACTTTCATCTCATGATCACTAAAGAAGTGTTCGTAGCTGGGTGCTGAAAAAACTCTTAGTTATCATAAAATTTTCCTCCATTACCCATAAGCTACTCTTTCGGAGCAACAATGTGCTTGTCAACGGTTCAAATCACTTACTGAGTAGCACGATGCAACTGTATACCACTGGACGATTCGCAATGTCAGTCGATTCCTCAACTAGGTAGGTCTTAGAATCCGTTTTCACAGACATCAGATCAAGTAATTCTCAGCAATCAGGCATTTTGATTGGTTATCACTAAATATCATTTTTCGATAGTTTCTTCAATAATCAAGGTTCTACACCACTTTTAGGAGTACATTTTGCATTTTTCAGACGCGTTAACACAAAGAAATCTCTTTTTTGAAGTTAAAGTTAAACGTTATTAACTCTAACTGAGGAGGAAATATGTATATCGTCTGTTGTTTGACACACAGTTGAAGATGACATTAACTGTCCTTCCACTACAGTGTTTCAAATAAAACTCAACATCATTTCTTATTAATCTTCTAATAACAGAATCAACACTGAGCATCTCAAACAGGTTTTCATGAAGATAGCAACATTTTTAAGACTTATACAGGTACATTGGAGTTATCATCCCTGTGAATTTTACACAACTGAATTATGAATTAAGTATCTTTATTTAAGATTCACTGGAACCAGAACCTCAGAATGAAGCCGGCAGGCAGGCAGTAAGAGAGTTTTGATGCTAATACACATGTTTCACGTAGTCCTGCCAAACAGTTCACACAACCTTAATTCAACAATATTAAATACAAATATTTACACACACACACACACACACAGTGACGGCAGCTTAGACTCAACTGCATTGATATGATAGCGCACACAGTTATGCAACAAGTCAAAGTAGAATAGAACAATGAGAATATCGGTAAAATGCAGGTTCTATTGCTAACTAGATTAGACATAAACAAATACATACCCCAGATGGCCGTTTGATCAATTAGCCTTCATCACAAAACCATTGCAGAACTAAGATAGCAAATGATGCAGAGGTAGGAATAACTCTATGTGTATATGAATCCAAATAGCGTGATACAAACGCTGTTGATTCACCACTTTCAGATCACGTAAAAAACATACAACGCTGGTGAAAACCATGGAAAATCTATTCACACTACAATGCAATTCGAAAGTTACAACCAGTCATGTTCCATCAAAACACAGCAAAAACAAATAAGCATTTATTCTCGTAGGATTTTAAAGTGGTACAGAATGTTTGTAGCTCAGGTGGATGGTCTTCGTTGTATTGTGTTCTCTGAGCTGGGTTGTTGAACCATAGAGTTTTCATCCTCTTTCTACACGACATCACCAATAACTTCAGGATGAAGTCAGCTGTCTACATCTCTCTGTGAGTGATACAGTAGTTCGCTCTGATCAACTGGTTTGAGATTGGCTGTATCCCTCGATTGGTGTGTCATTGACTGTATAGATTTTCCTGTTGACTCTTCCTCCACTTCACCTTCCTGTCATTTTTCTCATTGCTTGATAGATTGGGTCTATGTCTATACATCTGTTGATTGCCGACTGACCTGAATGCCAAGCTTCTAGGAATTCTCTGATATTTCCCGTGTTTTCTCTCCCTCCAAGATTTCTACATTTCCGAAATTGAATTCATGTCCACAGTTGTTATCCACGAGCATTGAGAAGAGTGATGAAATGTCGTGACGTTTAATGGCCGAGTGGTGTTCATGTAGACGAAGGCGAAGAGGTCGACCACTTTGTCCAATGTAGTAATGATCGTAGTTGTTGCAGTTGACTTTGTAGATGACATTCGGTTTGTCTTGTTTGTTTGTTGCATCCTTTGGTTTGCATAATAGTGTTTGGAGGGAATATGTTGGTTTGTGAGTCACACCAATTCGAAGTGGTCTCAGTAATCTTGTCTTGATTTCTGATATATTCTTCATGTGTGGTAGGTAGGTGATGCGTCTATTGATTTCTGTCGATGACTTTGTAGTTGATGATGTACGGGATAGGCATGTTCTGATAAAGTTTGGTGGGTAACCGATATTCTTTAGGATGGACATCAAGTAATTTTCTTTGTTTGTCAATGAAGTCGTTGCACTGCAGTGTATTCTCTCTGTTTTTAATAGAAGAGTCTGCACGCAAGTAATTTTGTGAGTTGTTGCTAAAGTATATGAGGATTTGACGAGTGTGTGATGACTTCCTGTAGATTTGGGTCTCCAGTTATCCATCATTTGTCTTAGTGACAACAACATGCAGGAATGGTAATTGATTGTTCGACTCCTTCTCCATTGTGAATTTGATGTTAATGAAAACATTGTTGATCAAACTATGAGTGGTGAAAATGTCGTCTAGAAAGACGATGAAAGCTCCACGACTAAACAGCCCAACTCAGAGAACATAATACAACCAAGCATTTATACTGATGATATCAAACAAAGAATTACGATGGACATACAATTCCAACAAGCAATGATCTATATGTAGGTCACTAAAAGATTAAAACTCCCATTATCAGTTCAAAGAAACCGCATCCCGTGCTAATTCTGTCTGACTGTATGGCTGTAAAAGAAGACCTTCTCATTGTCAGTCATAGTGAACATTGGAATCATGCTTACTTCACTTTCATAATCAAGCTAAATATCTTTCCCTTAAAGAATCATAATTTAACCAGAACTGCTATTAATCACTGGTATTCAAAAGGCTGTAACAATGCGAAGAAATGTGACACTGAATATCAAAATAATATTTACCTACTTATGGATTCTTTATTGAGCAACAATTGAGATCATTGGCCTCAAGTCTCTCATTTTTTCATTCATTCTTTCTGTTAGATGTTGATTACTGATTATTGGGTGCCCTAAACTAAAAAAAGTTGTAGTAATCTGAGAATCTCTTCACTAAGTTGACATACTCTTTTACTGGTAAAGGTCTACTGAATGCTCGTGTTCGATTCCGTAGACCAGTAATAGTACTCATATCTTATATAGGATCAGGTTAGTTGATGTAGCATACAGTTCTGTTGAATGGGTTACTGAATGAGGTTTCGAACAAAATGTATTCAGTAGAGAGTAATCAAGGTAATCATGTCATTCCCTACTTGATTTTATAGGCTACGAAGATTTTTGAATGTGTTAACAGGATTATGAGCGATAAATTGTGCTCAAAATGTTATTCAGCATATAATTCTAACATTTCTAACTTCGGAGTAACTTTTTCACTAAACAACTTCTGTGTTTTCAACACAGTTTCCGTTGGAAACTACCCAGATGAGATCACAGGTATGATCTATAATCCAAAATGGCTATCAACTAATGAAATAAATTGCTGAATAAATTGAGTAGTTAGAAATCACTTAGATTGATCTATGAACTACACTGGATGGTAGCTTTGCTGTTTTACGACTGAGCTAATCAGTAGTGAACCTGGAAAAATCCAGCTTATAAAAGTGAATTTTTTCAGATCACCTGAACATCAAAGAGAAACATCCAGTTTTTAAATCACTTGGAAACCGATCAGATAAGGTAAAAAAGTGAATAAAAATAGAAATTTAATCAGAAAGTCAATAAAGATAGTAAACATTAAAAAAATTAGTTAACTCGAAAATACTGATATTAGGTACAGCTACAAATTTAGTCGCTACAAACCAATTTAAAAAGTCGAACGATGTGATGAAGATAAAACTTGAGCAGTATTGTCATTGAGTAGATTATTAAAAAAATTTGTAAAGAGAAGGTGAGTATCTAGTGGAAATTTCCAAAAGCAATCTATCACAACGGGTGACCATGAGAAGTTGAGCAGAGCAGATAAAAGAATTAGAATCTTACTGATATTGAGAAAATTGTACAAAATGTGAAAAATGCCAAGAAGAAACACTTTAAAATTTAAAACTTCAGAAAAATAATATTTATGTAGTTTTCACACCTAGGCTAGAGCTACGTGTACAACTCAAGATTTGGAGGGGTATCACAAACTGTTACCTTTTCGCTAAAGATCTAACAGAGATTGGTCTTAAACACCACTGAGAAGTGGTATATAATGAAATATAATTTAATGATTCAGTTCATTTCCCGACTATTCGTTGAATAAACTCGAAAGTCATTTTGCAGAATGTTTGATGAAATTGTTTCGTAAGAAGTACAAAACGTGCTCATAAAACTAAGTATATTGAACAATAGAGCTCCAAATTAAAAAACTACCACGCTAAGTGACAGCCATTTGGATTTTCAGAACTTAGTAACCCAATGAGTGTTTCAATACATTTCATAGTTGACCTGATTCACTCTTATTTGAGTCGTTTTCAAGAGAAATTCTTCACATTACGTGAGACAAGTGATCTGATAGAGCTCATCCGAAAACTTGCGAACATCTACTGTAACAACACTTTTAACCGAAAGCAACACTTGTGACATAAATTTTAGTCATTCAATCAACGAACTCACTTCAGAGATGGAATCGGGAATAGCTATAGCTAATTAAGGTTGATGTTTCAACGACGGAAGGTGTTCAGGGCTCTAAAAAGGGAAAAATTAACAGGCACTGGAGAAAAAACTTACTCTGACCGGATGGATAATTAGTTGCTATCAGCTGATATCGAGCATCTTCTCATCTCAAGGAACAAGATGGAAAACTATCATATTCTGAAATATTTATTTGCAAGAATTCAACAAAAAATTTAGGTATAAAACTTCGGCAATGTGGTCGAGCATAATTCCACATTGGATGAGTTTATTCGGTATGGCGTCTAATTTCATAGTACTATACCCTAAAATATTTGGATATCCCCGATGATCATTCATGTCCAATGTCTTGTAGCACAAACTCAAAGATCTACAGGCGGAAAATAACAAGTTGGCAGAAGAAGCAAGACAGCGAACGAACACGGCACTTCCTTCAGGTGAACGTAGAGAAAACAGAGGTGGTCAAGATACCAAACCAACAACGACGACGACAACAACAACAACAACGAGCACCAATCACCATCAACGAGAGAAATCCAAAGTTGTCTATTTCACCTACCTAGGCAACGCAGCATCGTTCCAACTACAGGTGGCGGTGGCGGTGGCGGCACAGATGAGGATGTGAAAGCCACGATTGAAAAAAAAACAGCAAGACAGACCTTCCTTCATTAATGTGAAATCAATGTGAACATCTACTGCACTGTACTGCACTGCACTCAGCATAGAGCGTCAACAACATCCGGATTTTCAACACTACTGTCAGTCAGTGCTTCTATGTGATGGTTGAGAGGGTTGGCGCGTTATGAAAAGCATTTCGAACAAGCTGCAGACATACATCATCAACAACTACCACCTACGCTCACTCGATACTGAAGATCATTGGATGACCAGAATAGTAAGAATAAGCAACAAGCAACTCTGGTTGGCTGGCTGACTGGCAACGAATCAATGAAGCAAGAATCCACCGCCCAACAAATATGCAGAAGAAAGTGGAGATGGATTGAATTGGATTGGATTGGGGATTCATTGAGATCACCGTTTGAGGACATCACGTGCCGAGTCAGGCTAGGCCGTCGAGTGGAAGCCAAATGGGAAACGACGAGTTGATCGTTCGAGGTGAGGGTGACATGGAGGAAATGGTGTGAGGAAGCAATGAAAGCTTGTGGGCAGTGGTGTCAGCCAGGTTGGAAATACTGCGGAGAAGAGAGTGCAATGATGACGTGCTACTGAAGCCCTATGCTCCACTATGAACCTAAAGGAGAAATAATATAATTATAATAATAATTCTGTCAACTTAATCACAAACTTTCGTAACCTTAAAAAACGAATAATTTAGTGGCGTGATTAATTTGTAATCAATACTCTATCAACTAAACTGATCTACAATGGAAAAACATCTTTCCTGTATCAGATACTTTTGTTTGGAACCAAACACGCACATTCAGTAGACCTTTACCAGTAAAAGAGCATGTCAACTTAGTCAAGAGGTTCTCAGATTACTGTAAGTTTTTCAATTTAGACGGTCAATCTGTTATAACCTTTTAATCTCATAGTTAATGAAGTAAATAACGCACGAAACACAATAATACAAGTGAAAGTGACAGTAATCACTCAATGTACTGATGATGACGAATAATACGAAGCCAAACAAACAACTAAGATATCTTTAGTGTAATTGCTTGTATTATACCACCACCGAGTTGGTCTTTCGAAGTGAGGGTGACATGGAGGAGATGGTGTGAGGAAGAAATGAAGGCTTGTGAGCAGTGGTGTCAGCCAGGTTGGGAAGATTGCAGACAGGAGAGTGAAATGTGACGTGCTATTGAAGCACTATGCTCCACTAGGAACCCTAAAGACAAATAATAATGAAATAATATAATAATGTTCAAGATAATGACAAATCGTTTATCTTGTCAGCATGATATGTGATGGAAGCCATCTGAGACTATTGTATTCAAGACTAAGACAAAAAGGAAGGATTGCAGTTCAAAGGAAATACATGCAAACGAAATTCCATGCGAACTCTTCTACTAGAGAAATGAACACATTGTTGAATATATATAGATAAAGGAATCTACAACAGCCTTTAATATCTTGTTAGCTAAGTTAAGGTAATCAAGAGAACAGTGTCGAATTTTAAAATGTTGACCGGTAGGTAACACTTATTGTTACATATCAATATCAAGGCGGCGATGAACCTCAAAGTAAATTACTTTAAAGTCCTCATGAGTGACATGCTTCTAGATGGATATCGTAAAGTTCTAATGAAAAGTCGTGATTTGTGGGGTCAACCGGTTGGAAACGAAGCGGATACCAATTGAAGACCTAAGCGGATAGTTGCACAATATCGCAAATCGACAGGCGTAGGAAGCTATGGATAATTGAATTTCAACCTGGTAGCTAAGTGCGTAACGCGTTCTTCATGAGACTTGATGGACCTGATTTCGACTCCTGGTGAGGTGAAGTGGTAGATGAGCACTGCTGAGAAGTCTCATACTGGGACGAAACAGTTGTTCAATTCTCCCAGGTTTTCAGTGGTTCGCCAACTAAAGTCAATCCATGTCGAATTATTTATTATTATTTGTCTCTTGGACTCCTAGTATAACATAAGGCTTCAGTAGCACGTCACCATTTCACTCTCTTCTCTGCAGTCTTTTCAGCCTGGCTACACCACTGCCCATAAGCTTTCAGTTTTTCCCCCACACAATCTCCTTCATGTCACCCTCGCCTCAGACGCCAAACTCATCTCCCATGCGAGCACCACTCAAAGGCCCGGCCTGGAGTGGTGCATGATGTCCCTAAACGGTCTTCTCAGTGTATGTCCAATCCAATCCATCTCGACTTTCTTCTGCATATTTGTTGGGCGGTACGTTCTTGATTGGTTCGTTGTCAGGCCAGAGTTCCTTGTTACTTATTCTTTCTGACCATCTGATTTTCAATATTGATAAATACTACCACTAAATAATATATACTTCATAGTAAAAGGTTAAGGAATGAAGTAAAAATCAATTTTTTCAAACGAAATACGTTCAAGGTCAAAACAAATTTAATAAAACAAAATGAGAAGAAGAGTTTAAAGTAATTTTGTATAAAATAGAAGATAAAAGAAAATATGTAAATGAAAATATATAAGAGATACTTGATACTACACAACATACTTATTGAAGGTTTCACATAACGAAACATTAATTTATGCATAAATAAAGTGATTTCGATCACAATGACTAGTTCTGTTGTTATTATTATGCATTTCGATAAGTACTACATAAGAGATTGTGTTAAAGTGGAGGATATTAATATCAAGATGGTTCCACCATATCAGAATGATGTACTTTCCTTCCATCCAATTCTAGTAAGTAACGATCACCAGAATCCTGCCATGATTCATTTTTCAGTTTTCTTTCTTTAGCTTTGGTCACCTAGTAGACGAGAAAAAGATATAATTTAAACAAACTACTCAAAAGTTAAGTCAACAAAGTTCACAGATCGAAACGAAGACAAGTGAACCAATCATGATCTCCATATAAAACGAATAGATGTAGAAAAACTCGAAAAACGATCTAGCAAACTATGCCTAAGATAACGTAATAGCCTCTTCTATATTGTCAAATGAATATGCGACGATTCCACTGGAAGTCGATGAAATAAAGTGATAACTCTCCTTGAAGAATTACCTGCCTTCGCTAAACTTACTGAGCTTTAAGCTTAGGTGCATGGTTCCCTAAAGAAATTTGAATAGCCAAATGAGAACAAAGTTTGCAGTTGGCATTATATTTCACTGCCTTCTTTTCACCTGATTACAGGCTACACTTAATGAAATGGATAATCTATAAGAGGTCAGAACGAAAGAATGAAGTGTAAGGTTATTATTATTGATAATTATTTGTCTTTCGGGTTCCTAGTGAAATACACGGCTTCAATAGCACGTCATCATTACACTCTCTTCTCTGCAGTATTTCCAACCTGGCTGACACCACTGCCCACAAGCTTTCATTGCTTCCTCACACCATTTCCTCCATGTCACCCTCACCTCGAACGATCAACTCGTCGTTTCCCATTTGGCTTCCACTCGACGGCCTAGCCTGACTCGGCACGTGATGTCCTCAAACGGTGATCTCAATGAATCCCCAATCCAATCCAATTCAATCCATCTCCACTTTCTTCTGCATATTTGTTGGGCGGTGGATTCTTGCTTCATTGATTCGTTGCCAGTCAGCCAGCCAACCAGAGTTGCTTGTTGCTTATTCTTACTATTCTGGTCATCCAATGATCTTCAGTATCGAGTGAGCGTAGGTGGTAGTTGTTGATGATGTATGTCTGCAGCTTGTTCGAAATGCTTTTCATAACGCGCCAACCCTCTCAACCATCACATAGAAGCACTGACTGACAGTAGTGTTGAAAATCCGGATGTTGTTGACGCTCTATGCTGAGTGCAGTGCAGTACAGTACAGTGCAGTAGATGTTCACATTGATTTCACATTAATGAAGGAAGGTCTGTCTTGCTGTTTTTTTTTCAATCGTGGCTTTCGCATCCTCATCTGTGCCGCCACCGCCACCGCCACCTGTAGTTGGAACGATGCTGCGTTGCCTAGGTAGGTGAAATAGACAACTTTGGATTTCTCTCGTTGATGGTGATTGGTGCTCGTTGTTGTTGTTGTCGTCGTCGTCGTCGTCGTTGTTGGTTTGGTATCTTGATCACCTCTGTCTTCTTTACGTTCACCTGAAGGAAGTGCCGTGTTCGTTCGCTGTCTTGCTTCGTCTGCCAACTTGTTATTTTCCGCCTGTAGATCTTTGAGTTTGTGCTACAAGACATTGGACATGAATGATCATCGGGGAAGTCCAAGTCTTCTAGGGTTTTTTTAATCGGTCTTCTCAGACAGCGTATGCCCATCTTCTCGCTTCCCACAGTAGTATTTTGCATTATCCAGTCCAGTGCAGTGCAGTCGACCACAGTCGGTGAGATCATGTGTGATAGTAGGCGACAACCTTGTCTTACTCGTGTCGAAGTGTGAGGTTGGAGTAGGAAAATCAAATATTGAGAGATTGACTGCATTCATTTTAGAGGTTTGTGGAGATTTACTAATTGATTTTAGGTTGGAATTTTTCATGGACTGACATCATTTAGAGGAACATTGAAAACCTGGCAGCACTGGACAGGTATTTCGTCCTAGCATGGTACTCCCTTAGCAGTGAGGGCCCACCAACCCAGCAGGAGCCGAATCAAGGACCTTCAGGTTTCGCGGCCAGCGCCTCACCATTCAGTCACTTGGTCGGAATTCAATGGTGCATATTTGCATCTCAAAAGTTCCAATGAGAAATTGTGGCTAGTGGAGTCGACCAAGTCGAATATGAGGGCAGTTAATCAACGACGAGATTACATGTAGGTCACGCTATATCGTGAACTGACAGAAGTCAGAAATATCGACCACTGGAGTCCGATCCACTGGCTCAGTGGTAACGTGCCGACCGTGGAACCTGAAGGTCCTAGATTGGACCCCTGGAGGGCGGGGTCCCGGGTGCACGCCGCTGATGGGTCCCATACTAGGATGAAACAGCTGCATAGTGCTCCCAGGTTTCCAACTTTCCTCCATGATGAATCCCTACCTGGAACTAACTATATATGAATATGGGATGGTAATTTTAGAATAGCATAAAATAACAAAAAGGTGCATTTTAATAAAGGTCAATGTGTAATAATAATAATTATGAAGACAAAATAGAGAAGGAGGCGAAGAGTTAACTGCTGAATCTTCTGAAATACAAAGGTTACGCTTAAACTTTGGATTTGGGATAGTTTCTGGGAGCAGTGACTCATTAGTTTAGGGAAATGACTATCAACTAATGGGTCGCGTGTTCGAACCCAGCTTCATTTACTTGGGTTTCGGCAGCCAGGCAGTATCTTTAGTTTTTGCATAATAGATATAGCTTATTACCGATTACTTCATGAATGTGTTCATGGTTGCTGAGCGCATTTCATCCGTGCATCGCGTTGCGTTTATTCATGATTTTTAAGGTGTTTTCAATGTTAACTTTATGTTCTGAGTCGAATGAATGATGAGCAAGTGAAGTCAGCCGATCCCTCAGGTTTCTGAAAATGTGTTCAATAAAGTGAATAGCTACTTCTTCGCTCACCCCCTGGGTCTTCCCAATGTTACCTACTTTGGTTATTTATCTTCTTTTGGTTAACATTATTGAACAATTTATAATAAACAGTGTAATTAGTCATTACCGCAGCTTGTTTGTGAGTGCAGCTTGGTGATTAAATTTCAGCGTCATTTGATCTCCCTTAAATACTAAGTTGAGTAAACACTAGTTTCTTCTGTGGCTTAATTGTTAGACACTTATAGAAATCTTCGCCTCTATACTTAGGAATGAACTTTTCAGAATGTTTAGATGGGTTTCATTGAGTGCTTTGAGATGACTGTTAAAATGACTCACAATACTACTACTACATACGGCACCGCATAACACAATGGTGATGGCTGTGCTGGCTAGAATCAAACTGTGATTGACACAAAGCCACATAAAACGTTCCGCATTATCTAATCTTTGACCTACTAAACCCTCCTCTAGACTTAAGACATCTAACGTTAACGTCTCCAGTTAACATTATGATTTCCATCGAGGGGATTTGGTAAAAAAGGTTTGGTTGATTGATGACAGAACACATCCTGAACTATATCCGGGCTTTAGTCAGTTGGCATATAGGCAAGAACGACAAAGAGACATCATTTACCGTGTCAATCTAATTGAACAATCTAGTCTAACAGCATACAGACGATTGTTGACGGAGATACAGTCAACTAGTGCAACTTTAGCTCTGACATTTAGTGCGATACAAAAACCACCAAAGTCAGCTGCTGACACCACAGAGTTTTCAGATAAGTACACTGTCAATACACTTTTCAGCTGACTGATGGTGAAATCATTCGGAACACTTTACTAGGTTTTTGTATGCGGGTCTCTGATATGCAGAATACATCAGTAAAAAAGCTTTTCAGAGTCCCATCCATACTTATCTGTTGTCCAATCTACATTACGGCATAAACTTTGAAGCTTACCAGCTTAAGTGGTGAGCGTTGTTTCAGACAACTATTTAGAAGCAACTGTTTAGCAACTCAAGAAGAGGCAAGTAAGCTACAATTTCAGTCAGTGACAAGCAAGTAATTGAAACAAAGACATTTAAGGAGATTAATTTGAAAATGATGAATAAAATATAGTATAATGTTTGCTGTGCATTAACCAAACTTTTTTAGACGCTAACCATCGCGGTGCACTTCGGTTGAAGTTAAAACCGTTGGACGCAGTTGACAGGAAGACATGTGACCATAACTTCAACACTATTAAATGCTGAGAATTTCTACGACTGAGTATAAACATAGAAGTATGCTAAGGAAACTAAACTAACTTCTGATGTATTCAAAGAATTTCCAAACTGTGCAGGATGATTATGACACTCGGTATCCGTACATTGTTAGTGGCCATACCACATGTCAGTTTCAAAATCATAACGGTGGTGAAGGAAATGGGATATTGAGAAATGAATTCTTCGAAGTTGAACAATTTCCTCGAACAACAAATGGAGCTTATCGACATACTTACGCAATTCAAAATTCCTGGTACTGAATTATCGCCAAGTATGGCAGTTTTAATATCTCCTTCACTTGGTGGCATCGCCAATAGCATCACTGACTTTCACTACGATTTTGATGCCAATGAAATTTCCGACACTTGGTTAGCAGGCGTTACAAAGACTATTTCAAAGTGGATTTTGCTGGTCGAGATGATTTCTGGAAGGTATGTCTCCTACATCGAAAGCTTGGTCCACATGAACTCAACCAATACTGCAACATGATTTCACCGCAGAACCCACGTGATCGCACTTCCTATGCCACAGTCCAGACACTGAATGGCATGTCTGCAAAATATCAACTACTGGGTAACCTGAAGTATGACACGAGTTTAACCCAATCCGGATGTGAGGGTGGTTCTGAAGTACATACAGTTTCGCCAGACATTTTATTCCATCGCATCATCCTCTAAACACACAGCCCATGGCCTCGTCTCGCCTGTTCGTCGGCCCAGTAACTCATTTGACACTAACCGACCCTCGAAGAAGACATTCCCATCGCCTTGCTGGCATTTCGTTAAATCTTGTCCACCTAAACAACATCGATGGCGAGACTGTAATGCTGTGGGTAATAAGGACGAATGTTGCCACCAATACATACAACGATGTGTACAAAGATCATCCTGCGGATATCATTGCAGATCTCATTCTCTACCAGTAGGTAAGTCTCTTGGTTTGATAGCTGATTTTAATGCTCACCTGCCCGGTGAAAGAATATCGAGAAGACTATTGATCCCTCGTGAACAAGGAGAAACTCCTTCTGCATTGGTCACATGGATACAAGGAAAAGACAGTGCCGCCCAGTCTGACCCCAAATAACATTCTGTCGAAGAGGAAGGTGGTAAGGGGATAAAGAGAAAAGACTAGTTTGGAGAGCGACTAATTAGTCTCTGATTAAGCAGATAAACGGTGGGTCAGCCAATCAATAGGATTTGCTTGGTTGTGGCTAGCAGAGGAATCCAGGAGGCGCGTTTCGTCCTATTTGGGACTCATCAGCTGAATGTACCTGTATCCCGAGTGAGTGATGAGGTTCCCACTGACACTAGAACCTCGTACCCATCGGAGGTATATCAATAAATAGTAATCAATAGAATTATTTTAAACAGTGAACTATCTATATATTAGCTGTACTTTCATCTGTTTCTGGGTTTTCAGTCCTTTCAACCTCAATACATGTTACTAAACATCCATCGTGTCATCTTCATTAATTAGTCGCGTCAAAAATTAACTAGAAATTTGTTGAACGTTGGCCGGTTGACATTCGATATCTGTGCACCGTTAGCAACCATATCATACAGCAGTTTTCAAACCATAATATAGGTATAACACACCGATAGGTCGAACCATTTAAGGATGTATGAATGAACTCACCTCTTTAGATTCCCAGGCTTTTTGATCCTTCAATTTCAATATATGATCATCAGAACCAGCTGCCCAAACTTCAACTGAACTTAGTCGTAAAGGTAGACCAGAATTAAATATCAATTCATTAAAATCTTCAGATATTTCAATAACAGGTGACAAAAGCGGTTGATGTCCAACAAGAAGACCACGTTTTGAAGTTTTTGTTGTAAAATTTGCATAAACTATGCCTGAATCTGAACCTAATTTACCAGCTTCAGAGAGGTTGAGGAGTGTAGAAAGATAGAATGCAAATTTGATTTGAACAGGTATATTGTTAGCAAATTAGAAACAATTTAAGCTTGTAAAACATAAACTGATGATGGGTTTTGCAGACTGCATATATTCATTTAAATATGATTATCTACAGCTTTTTCTATGCCTACATAAAACAAAAAGAACGGACCTTGTCGTAGGACATCCCACTAGTAGACCTAGAGTATGCAGATAACATAGTCCTGTTAGGTGAAGGCACTAACAATATGCTGAGTCTTCTAGACACATTGACTGGCAATTTGAACATGTTTGGGATATGTTTCTTGCTACGCAAATGTAAATTGTTGCTCCAGGATGGATCTTTAGCGGTGCCCTGTATAACAATAAAGAGTGAAGTGGTTGAATGCGTTGGACACTTCACTTATCTGCGAAGTTGGATAAACCCTGGTGGGTCGTCAGTAGCCGACAAAATATCTGCATGCATTCAAAAGGCTCGACAGGCTTTCAACAACTCACATCACTTGTGGTGCCGCTACGATATCCAACTGTTAATTAAGGAGCGAGTGTACTGCGCTGCAGTTCCCACTAATCTACTATATGGTTGTAAAGCATGGCCATTAAAAACATAGGACATGAGAAGGCTTCAGGTGTTTGACTGTCGTTACTTTCGTAGCATGGATCATATGTCGTGTGATATCACTACGTAAGTAATACAGAAGTCAGGTGTAGAGTTTTAGGGAAGAGAGAAAAGTCGGTCGATAAGGTTGTGAACTTTCACCGGGTAGTTGTCTGGGACATGTGTAAGGAGGAAAGGCATATTTTCCCTTTCGGGCCCGCGTGACAGTCGAAATCGGTACCTAGAGACTAGATGATATGGCTCCAATTCGATAGTATGCGTTATCTTCATCTTGCCAAATTTCATTATTTTTTTATTTCTTCTTATTCTCTACCACTTTATGATTAGTATTTGTCTTATTGCTTTGTCCTTTGTCTTGGTACCTTCTAGCTTCTTGTACTGAGATATAGCGACTTGAACTATTAGGCAGTAATGCCAATTCATATATCAGTACTGATGGAAGTAAAACAGTAAGTCATTTCACCGGTTTTCTATGCGATTGTGGAGAAGATCAAGAGAGTATACTTATTACAGTTACCCATACATAATGAAACAGAGACTTAGCAACCAATCGATTTTATCGGTATATTAGTGCAACTTATGCCAAATAATGATGAAAAAAAGCCTTTAAAATCCTCAAGAGGAATTGAGTTACGAAGCATAAGTAATCTACCTTATCCGAACATCTTTATGGGATTTACATGAAAATAAATAAATCTCTGACTTCTTAAAAACTGAGCACCATTATGTTGCTGATAAATTTCTCCAGTCTAAAAGATGCTATAAAGTTGAACTTACTGTAATGTAAATCGACTGGATACTAGTCGCTTAATGGTGGCTAGGGTCACGGTCTTCCCCTGTTACAAATTTTCCGTCTGCATATTATACACAAGTATCCCCGTGGGTGTTCTTACCAATATTAGAATCTATCATCTACTTACTCTTACCTATCATCGCTGACTTTTCAAGTGAAGAGTAAAGATAAAGGAAAAGCTACAGCGATAGGTAACACTAGACAATTATTTATAATTATACAGGAAGCTGGGATAAAAGGTTAGTGATTGGTGAGACTATAACAGAAAAGGATGCATACGCGATTGAGTCGCAGGGGAAACGACTGGAACGATGGGTGAAACACCTCAACTAGCCTCCAGCCATTATTCCGTATCATGCTATCCAGTCGGAGCGTGAAGAGAACATCAGGATCGAACCTCCAACACTTGCAGAAGGCGAGAAAGCAGTAAGTAACCGGAAACGAGGAGGAGCAACAGGGTCAGGTGGGCCAGTTTCAGAGGTATATAAGGACGGGGTTAGAGTGTTTTTAGTGAAGTTAACTAAAGGGTTTACTAGTGTGTAGGAGTCAAACACGATACCCTCTGACCAATAGCAATCGCTGATTATTCTGGTTCTCTGCGATAACCACAGAGGAATCAGCTTGACGAAAAAAGTGTCTAAGATTCTAGGTTCTATAAACATTAAACGTCTGATTGGAATTCGGGAACACCCGACACAAGAAAACCAAGCAGGCTTCAGACATGGTCGTGGCTGAATCAACCACCGGGTTTTGGAATACAGGCGCACATATCAAGTCCGAACACTAGCTGTATTTCTCGATCTGATGGAGGCATTCAACTCCGTCAATCGAGAGGTCTCATAAAGTACCTCTCGGTGAGGAGTACCCAGTAAGTAGATTACTCTGTTGAGGGCTCTTTACTTGAACACCTATGGCTATGTTACAGCCTATAGTCTTGTCAAGGGAGCTTTCTACATACAGTGATGTGCGTCGGCATTTTTATGGAGGTCTTCCTCTACTCGTCTCACTTTACAGGGATTGATCAAATCACAAGAGAATTGTTGATAGGTCTAGAATATGCAGATAATATAGTTCTGTTGGATGAAGACACTGACAAGATACAGAGTCTACTGGACAGCTGGAGAATGTTTGGGATGCGTTTCTCTCCACACAAATGAAAAAATTTGCTTCAGGCCTAGTCTTCATTGGTGCTTACGTTATCAGTAGGTAGTGAAGTGGTTGAGTGCACTGAACTATTCACTTACCTGGGAAGTCAGAAAAGTTCTGGCGATTCAGTGGCCAACAAAATGTCAGCAGGGGTACAAAAAATTGCTTGGTTTTCGCAAAACTTATGGTATCCGTCTGACTCTCACGATAGCCGATTGCTTATAAAGGGTCTCGGGGATTCGAATGCCTTTGAAAACTTATGACAGGCTGTGAGTCGTGGCATCACCATATGGATAATGGAGAAGTAAGGTGTAGAGTTTTAGGGAGGAGAGGAAAGTCAGTTAATGTGGTTGTGAACCTGCACTGAATCAGATGTCACGCATGCCTAGTTACCGTCTACCTCATCGTTCAATTTTAGCTGAAGTATGTATGTTCAGGATGGAAAATTGCTCTGGGTAGGCAGACTAAAACATGGAAGCAGTCCTTGACTGTTGGTTTGAGGCATGTAGGACGATGCAGACTAGCCGGTGAAAGACCCTAGGTGATTTGTCTCAGAATCAATGTTAGAAGCACAAACACATCCATAAATTATCTTAATCGTTACATTGAATTCAGCACTTTCTCATTCCTCCTTCTTTTCTTCAACCACTTTTGACTGATTCTTCTTCATCTCAATAGTTTATTAATTGATGTGCTGGTAAGAAGTGCGCCACTTTGGACCATTAGGCAATAACATCAGGTCCGATATTGATGATGAATATAGGGAATCTCAATTAGAGATCAACAAAAATACTGCAACTATGATAGATTTCCAGTTATATCATCACTTAAAATTTTTCCACTCCATCGATTTCGACTTGTCCAATGCATCATCATCATTATCAACATAGGACCAGGCATTACTGCCTAACGGTCCGAGTTGCCACACCTCATATCAGCACATCAAGTAAAAAGGTAGTGAGGTGAAGGATGAAGATAAGTGAATGCAGTCAAAAGAAATATAAAGTACGAGAAGAAAAGAAAGAGGAGTGACAAAATGGTGAGGTTCGGTATAGCGTTGTTAAGATGAGGATAATGTGTGTATACATCTGCGCCACTGACTTCGGTTCTGAGCCATATCACCTAGGGTCTCCAACCACTGGTTCCTCTTGTCCCGTGGACCCCAACCACCCAGTCTGCATTGTCCTACATGGCTTAAACCAACAGTCAGAGACTTCATACATTGGTGCCATGTTATAATCTGGCCACCTCGAGCCTTTTTCCAGCCTGGACCCACCTCAGCCAACATTGTGTGATGAGGCAATCGGTGACTAGGCATACGGAATGCATTCGGAATGTGAAGCTGTTTTTCGGTATCATCATCAGAAAATAGACAACTTGCTTTGAGTACAGTTTAGTGTTGTTATAACACAGTTCTTTCATCATGTATTTTATATTTGCAATCTGGCCACCAAGCAAGGAGGTTCAGCATCCAGGTGCCTTCAATCAACTAACAACTACTAATGTGTACTGCGATGCTGAACCTCTTAGCTTGGTGACCATTTTGTTAATTGGCCGGTTGAATGTGGACAACACTCACGAACACACAACATAAAATTAGTTACTCTCCAGTATGCAATCAGAGTATAAATTTTCTACCTCCTCTTTGAAATAATATTGGGTTATTTCTTAACGATAAGTCATTCTTCCTTAGTTAGTGAGTATGCGTCATTGTATGCAAGTGGAGTATAAAACGGTTTTCTGTCATTGTATTACTTACAAATGTGTAGTTTCTTCTGGAACCGTTTACTTTACACAAAAGTAAGAAGTAGAATTGTAATGGGCGTTGCTGATAAGAATGGATATATGTTGAGAGGGCAGCAGAAATCATAGGCAATTACCAGCAATGGGTAAAGATTCCGCCAAGAGAAACGCAAGAGACAATATGGGCGTACGAAGAGTAAATCAAGATAGAAGCAGAAGAGGAAATGAAGCAGATTTTCTAAATGACTGTCTTAGTGCAAGGTGTACCATATTTAACGACTACTGTCCCACTTGTCTTTGTCTTCTCGTTTCCTTTCAGTACTATTATTCCTTTCTTTTTTTGACGGAATATGCAACAGATAGAATGATGAGATTATGTGGAAATAATGTTCCTGTTATTTGCTAGTAATTATGATAGTTCTTATTACCTCACTAATATAAGTGAAAAACTTGGGCACTGTGATAGAATGTAATTCCATATTAGATTTGTTTATTTGATATAAAGCGCACAGTGATAGAGTATTATTTACTTGATTTTGTCAGATTTAGCAATTACTATACTATTATCCTTTCGTAGATTGTTTAAAGCTGAATTTTCCAGTTTCGTTAAGTTTCACTGTGTCTTCTTTTGTTTTGTTTTTAGTGCTAATGCACACTGCGCTCTAACATGTTCAGCAGTTGTCACATTCATCGAGCTTAATGCTACTTCTATGCTAGGTATGACATCTTCCGGTTTTAGATGATCTACTGTTATGTTGAAGTTTAGTCCTTTTTCAAGTACTTTCATCTCAGCTGAACTTAAGGCTTTCGAGGAGAGATTGACTACTCACTTTGTTCTATCGATGTCCGATGATGTTTCCTTTGTAATTTCATTGTTTTCAGAAGGATATTTTTTTTTGCATTAGTTTATTGAACTTTTTGGTTTGATTGCTTCTAGATTTCTTTAAAGTAGCTAATCTTGCTTTGTCTGATGTTTCTATTATAAATCCATAGTCTCTGCAGTTTACTATCTTCATAATTTTACATTTAAGTTGTTCAATTTTATTCCGAATGGTATTTAATTTTTTAATAATCCTGTGAATTTCTTCTTTCAGACATAGTTTGCTGACATGTTCTATTGCCCTTTCGATTTTGTCAGTATATATTAGGATTCGTATGCGAAGGTATTTAGGGATAATTTAATTTTTCATGCAACGAATATTGAAAATACGATGATTTGTGAAATGTGCTTCAGTTTGTGAAAGTTGTGTGAGTTTATTGACTAGCCTTCGAACAGGAGGACCATAAATTTCATTAATATAAGTGAAAAACTTGGGCACTGTGGTAGAATGTAATTCCATATTAGATTTGCTTATTTGATATAAAGCACACAGTGATACAGTATTATTTACTTATTACCTCACTTTATGGATAGTATCGATAGGTAAACATATGTAAATTTTCATCATTTAAGTTGGCTGCTACAGCATTCCATTTAAGGTATTTGCTGGATACGTTATTACTACGAGTCATATCTAAGGTATATATGAAGAGTTAAAGATACCACCTAACTACTCAAACCTTAGAGAGGTGGAGTAAGATTTGAATCTTAGGTCTAATGAATGGAAATTTGACTGCTTTAACCATATTGACTATTATGATATCTCACGATTGAAAAAAAACTACACCAAATTTTGATTTGATTTCATTAAACTGAGGCAATTATTAATTAAAATTAACATGATTTCATTCAAAGAAGAAATATTATGATAATTCTAAACGAACAGTCACATGTTACTATTCAGTTGAAGTTGAACTGAAACCAAGTGAGGCAGCTCAACTATGAATTAATGAACTGGAAGTTATTGGTTAGGTTTCTGATACGGTCAACAGGCTTTCCTCCTCCTCCTCCTCCCCTTCAATCACCAACTAAATTGTCTTTTTAAAATGGTTTGTTAGGTAAAATTTGAAGCGTTATTATACTTACAGACAAGTCGACTAAATGTTGGTTCAATTTGATATAAAAATGAATTGTCTCCACCAAAAGGTTTCAATGACTCTCTATAAAAAGAGAGAGAGAGAGAGAAAAAAAAGAAAAAGTTATAAAATGTCATGAAAATTATAATTTAATGAATTAAAGTGTAAATAGTTTTCTGTAGAAATAAAATTAAAGTCTATCACTGCTGGAATTAAACGCATATGATGGATAACAAGTCCTTTTTTTTGCTCTCTTGTAGTCGAGTTCAAACTGGCCCATTGTCAAATCACTTACTACTTTTTGATAGTGTGTTATGTTCTCTGATCTGAATTATTTAATCACGAAGCTTTCGTTACCATTCTAGACAACAACATTAATAGAGGTTGAGCAATTCAACCCTGTATAGCAAAAGGGAAACTACAAGAATCATAACAACAAGGTGAGAATTCATTTGAACCATTGAGTAGAAAAATACTTCAGTCGACTGACTGGTAAAGTATAGTTCCATAACTTGAAACTACTGTACGTGTTATCAATTATAAAAAGTGTTTATATACAGCGGCACGGGCAGAGAATGCTTAAGGTGGACTTTAAAAACGCTCTTATAATCAGTATAGTGTACAGTATCGCTATGTATTCTCGCTACAGAGTAACTCAACTACCATACATCATAGTCACTTGGAATGAATTTCTACGACAATTCTACTAGTATATGAATATATGGAGCTGTGGTCTGTTGGTTTAAGGAACTAGACTTCCAACTAATGAGTTACAAGTTCGAACACTATCCCAAGTAATAACATCTGAGCAGTTAGACAATGTCACGTTACTCCTCACACAATAGGTGTGGTTTATTGTATAAGGCAAGAATGTATACAAGGTTGCTGAATACATTTCAAAGGGATAAATAATTGCATGAAATAACAAGATTATTACTATAAACCTTTTTAAACTGGGGATATTTTATTATAAAATAATAAAAAAACAGAAGTGTAGTATGAATATGAAGCAAAAAGAGGTGTTCTTAATTTATTGTTCAGTTTACAAAAAGCTTGGAATAGGTTACATTTACACACTAGAAACTTACTTCAAACCTTGATCAGATAGTAAACAGAATAGAAATTCTTTAGCTTTCAGTAGTACAATAACTGGTCCATTGTAATCGAATGTCAATTCTAATAATCTAAAATTAAGCAACAAACACGAAGAAAAAGAATGAGAGCAACCAGAGAAATGTCAGTTACATTGACCAATGTATCTGAAAACGATATCAGTAGACAGAGTTTTTTCAAGTCGGTATTCATCGTGGACTGATATCAGTTGGAGGAACATTGGGAACCTGGGAGGACTGGACAGCTGTTTCGTCCTAGTATTGGACTCCTCGGCAGTGCACACCCACGACCCAGCCACAGATCGAACCCGCGACGTTCACCTTCCGTGACTAGTATGTTACCATTGAGCACTGTCGAGTCTGTCGTCAACTGACAGAAGTTGGAAATATGAACCATCGGATTCCAACCCGGTGGTTTAATGGTAACATGCTGGCCACGGAACGTGTAGGTCGCGAATTCGATCCGTGGAGAGGTCGTGGGTGCGCACTGCTGAGGAGTTCCATACTAGAATGAAACAGCTGTCTAGTGCCCTCAGGTTTTCAATGTTTCTCCAACTGATGTCAGTCCACGATGAATACCAACTTGAAAAAATATCTAAATCCCCACAAACCCACCAAATTCAGTAGACAGCGTAACTACACGAAGTTGAGGAAAGGTGACTAAATATATTTTTTAATCTGGAGTATAAGAGGATTACAACAATTATGTACCGAGTTCCACGGTTCTGAGAAAGACGACGGATTGCACTGATGAAACCACTTACCACCATACTGATGATAAAATAAAATGCTACAACTTTCTGATTCTCCACCGAGTGAGTCCGCACTAGAACAGAAATAAGTACAGATAGACTTCACAATATTTAAGAGATAAGTAAACCACTTTAGACATCTACACTGTTGTAACTCATCACAAAGAGAAGCATCTTTAAAATCCCTGAAACACTGATACATTTCGAAATATTTTCGAAAGTATACTATATAGCAGTTTATAGCTGTAAGATGCATCAGTAAATCAATAACACGAGGTAAATAGTCTAAGATGTTTACAGAAGGAGCAAGACTACGTCTAAATTTATGATTACTGACAAATAGTATCAGTGTGAAACCTCACACAGGCGTGTATCACCTCAAGTTGTTATACAAAACAGGAGAATAAAAAAGAATCAATGGATAGAAAAAGAGGGAATGCGAGGATTTGGAACGTGAATACCAAGGTTGGTGAAAATGCTCAAATTTTGGAAGACCTCAAAGTATGTGACTGAATTACAACCATTTCACCAAGGGTCTCCAACCATCAATTCATCTTACCTCGGTGACAAAAAACCGGGCAGTCTACACCTCCCAAAACAGTACAGAATAACAGTCAGAGAATTCATGAACTGTCAACACATCTTCGTCTGGCCACCCTCACCCTTACCCAACTCTATTCTACTCTGATTAACATTACATGCTGAGGTAGGCAGCGAATCAGCATGCGCAACACACATCCGAGCCATCTCAGTTGCCGAAGGTTAACTACTTCATTGAATGATGTCTGCTTTGTCTAGTACTCTACGCCTAAATTACTCGTACAGTGATTCCATCTCACGTGAGGATACATGTAGTCAGAAACTTGTGCTCTCCTCATATCTACTCACAACAACTAAATCAACAGCACAGAATACTCTTTCTTTACTAAGTAGTCGGATATCTCACCAGCACAAGACATGATGCGATTTGGTTGGAGCCAAAACGGGTCCTTTGTATCCGAACTGAAATTCTGTCAGCAACCAACCCGTTGGGACTGATACAGCTCTCCAAGTTAGTGAGTAACTGTAGACCAATCCGGAAGCATCATCTTACATTTGAGAAGTGTGAGATATGTGTCAAACATACTCAGATTCCTGTTCAAGACGTTTGGAAGTCTGTATCTTACCAACGTCTTCACCTAGCAGGATAATATCGTCTGCGTATTCCAAAACAACCACACGCCTTTAATAGAGTAAATCAATCCCCGTGAAGTCAGACGTACCTAAGGTTACGTCCATGACGAAGTTAAATAGGAACGGTGACAGCGGGCATACATGCTGAAAAACCAATAGTAATCTCCAATCTATATGACAACTCTCCATAATCCCTGACACAGTTGCGTGACTTCAAGTGGACAATTTTAATTAGTGTGGCATACCTGCTCGGTACTCCAATGATAAGCAAACACAGCTAATATACATTACAGTCGACAGAGTCCTGATGATGGATCGTCAGGTCCTGCTGCGCTGCATCTTTTTAGGTTTGAAACAGCTTCCTCAACCTTTACGAGAGTTGAAGAACCAACATTTGTGTCGCAGTTAGTTTCAGGCTGGATGTTGGGCAACTGAAGCGTGACTTCAGGTTAGCTGAATTGTGCTTCAAAGTGTTCTGCCCAACGTTCTAGCCATCTTGTCCTGAGAGGTTATCAGGATTCCATTCTATTTGATTATGGTTTCACCAACCATCGTCTTCTACTTGCTGATATCCTTAATAAGCCTAAATAGTTGCTGGGTGTTACCGAAAGCTGATGCTTTCCCCATCTCTCCCGCTTTCATCACAAACCAATGCTTGCGATTGTTTCGAATACTTCTATTCCATTTACGTTTGAGCTGTTTTCGCTCCTCATTTGGGTCAGAGACAGCTGGAATCAGTCTTCTTGCATCAATCAGTTCCTATAACTTCGCAGAAATCCAATGACGTTTGCTAACCTTCGGGTGCAGGTTAGCAATAGTCTTTATCGGTTTCATCAGCATGAGGATTGCTGTCATGTTTAGATAAATATTTAGGTAACTCCTACCTAAATATGTACTTCACATTCTGGTCTTCCAATCGAGGATAGACAGGATTTACCATTGCCGGTTTTCTGTGACTAGTAAGGGGAAATATACATGAGTCCGAACTAGTGCGTGATCGCAGTTGAAACAGGTACTACAGAAAGGGCGGCAATCCTCCACCAAACCTGTCGAACAATGGCTTATAGAGATATGATCTCTCTGTGTTCATCGTTGGTTTGATGTCGGTGGATGCCGAGACAAGAATAATCAAAGGCAGGAAAGAGTGTGCCGACTTCTTCTAGCCTCCTTTTTCCGCAGGGAAGGCAGCACCAGCATGGTACTGCTGGTCATGCATCGGAAAAACCTAGCAGCTGTCATATCCCCTCCAGATGGCGGTATGACTTCGCTCTCAGACCCCAATCATAACGCAGTTGTTTACATTACTGGCATGGTAAGACTTCAAGGGACAAGCATTCTATCCAGTGCAGTTTGTTAGGTCATCGTGTTAAGCAAGCCCGATTACGACGTCAGGGTAGCACTTATGGGTTGTGTATGACCAAAGTCCTTTAGGAATTATTTTAAAGTTGGTAAAACTACGTTGAATGGGGGTTGTGGAATGTAGTTTAAGTACACCGTGAACTTTATTCAGGAGGAAGTATTGAACGCTGAAATCATAGTATAATATTCCGAGTAGCAGTGGGATAGTTACTATGTTCAACTATGGGTGCTTTGCATTTTCCTTTATGCTGAGAAATGTACTGTTAAGTGAAAACCGTTACAGAGCATTTCATGAAAAGTAGATTGTGATGCAATGCAACGTTTATCAGTGTAGATTGCTAAGAATCATAAGTTCTTATTGATAGTATATTAAGCATGAAAAAAAGTGTTTGCAGTACTTGTTGAAGATGATGACAGACAATTAGTGTACTCTTATTAAATGGAGCTACAACTGTGTTACACATATCTGTCATTCAAATAAAGGGTAATGGATTCATCTTCACTAAATGGTATCATTAAGCTTCACATAACGAGTGTGGTTCATAGCTCAGTCGACGAACGACTTGTTAACATTATTGGAAAATAGAATATGAAAGATTTTATCATTTCGTATCAGAGGAGAAATCACAGTATGCCATGTATATCAATCACGGCGGTAACCGTTAAAGCTAGACCCAGTTAAACAAGAACTAGAGCCAATTCATAGACGCTTTTTCCATTACTCACTATGCTATAAGATGATCAAAACAGTAACACTACTAGAGGAACATTAAATATACGAAATAATAGTAGAAATGCACTAAGTTCACATGTAAAATATGATGTTAGAACAACAGTAGGTATACGTATATCATAATTATAATGCAGCTCAGTGACCTGATACATGTTCGTATCTTACACTGTGAGCTACACTCAATGTGCAAAGATACCAAGCAGTTGCTTATAATGAAGTAGTTAAGTAGGTTTAGAACCTATAACCCAGTTGATTGGTAATCAGAAGTTTAGCTTAATGAACTAAAGCCATAGATATATATGGCCTTACGGCTGTTTAATTTTGTTTTTACACAAAAAATTAAGAAGTACATGTATTCTTACATGCACATTTTTTTTTATAAAAGCATCCTAAAATATTTGATTCAATGATGAATAAAATTTCCACTGAATAACCCTTTGGAAGCAAATCTACAATAATATGTACAGAAGATTTGATAGAAGGTGGTGATAAGAAAGCGATGGAAGTAAACTTTGACTAAAGTAAATATAGTCTCGTTGACCTAGATCCATGGAGAAATGTAAACTTATTTAGTAATAATAAAATTACACTTGCTCAGTTGAGAAAGATCTAGGAATCTTTCGGTAAAACAAGGAAAGTAGTTACAGCTTACTGAGCAGAGTTCCTGTTGAAGTGATAAACAGACAGTAAGTTTAAAAGGCTATTGATGTTTTATGATTGAAAATGAAATCCAATCTAATACCTAAGAAACAAAGTAACTAAATCCAGCTGTTCACTGAGATACTAAAGTATAAAACTTCTGCTACCTTAGCGTGATGGTCAAGGTTTGCTTATCCTAATGAAAAATCCGAAACAGATATGTTATAATACTTGTTCCTTGTCAGTAGGATAAGTCAAAGAAAGATGAGATAAGAGGCTGATAGCTTGATAATCCTACAACTAAACCTATAGAGTAATGAAATTCATGAGTGAAGTTGTACTACTGAGTTGTACTGTAGTGTAACAGCAATAGAATAATCAATATCGTTAACTGATACTACCTTCCCAATATTGAAAAGATGGGTTAAAAATGTCCGTCCTAAAAGTAGTATCCCAGTTGTCCAAACATGTTACCTCCAAACAAATTTTTTTGGCTTAGAAAGAAAACACAATTACATCAAAATCAAAAGCCTCAGGAAAGATCGCTTGTAACAGGCTTCAATCAGCTCTCTTGAGATCTGAAATCATGCACTTAGTTCAATAAGACCACCAACACTAGTCTATTTTAGGTATCTCAAAAAGAAGGATTCATCTCCAGTATGAACATGTAGGTGTCAGTTATCTATAAAACCTTAGCAACACTCAATTTACAAGTCTAAAAGGAGTCAGAAAAACTAAACAACAAAGTAATGAAGTCTGAATTCCACGGAAAGTTCGGTTTCATACTTTTTAAAACATAATATATCATAGAGCTTTAAATTAACATTCGAAAAGATCATCCTCAAAAAGAAGGATTAAAAGAATACATGTGGCTAAACCATCGATTAATGAAGCTTGATACTATAATTGGACAAAAATGGAATTGCATTAGCACGTACAATTATTAAACACAAAACAAGACTATGCAAAGACAGAAAGTGGCGGCGGGGGGGGGGGGAGGGGAATAAGTCAGTCACTTAGGTTATGAACCTACAGACTAAACTGAATGGAATGTGTACTACACAGTACAACACAGTGTGTTGTACACACACCGAAATTCGTTTTCAGCTAGAGTAGAATAGGGGATACACTGTATATGGATCAACAAACGATGAATATTTCATTTCACTGACTACAATCCAAATTTGTCGTCTGAGGTGACGAAAACTAATGGTGTCCCTAGGTACCTCCGACTTTACGGAGATTGACTTGTTCCCAGAGGGGCACCTGGAAAACTTGGAACGACAGTCCTTCCAGGTGATGCTAAAAAAAATGCAAACTATTCTGAACCCCTTGGAAAGAAATCAGAGTATGTTTAGCATGTGTCTCGCACCTGTCAAATGTAAGAGGATGCTTCAGGACTGGTCTACAGCTTACTTTAGGTTTAAGGATAGGTGAAGCGGTAAAATACGTTGACCACTTCACTAACTTGGAGAGTTGCGTCAGCCTGAACGGGTTGTTTTCTGACGAAATTTCAACTCGGATACAGAAAGTTTGTTTGATATTTGTCAACTTGCGTCGACCCTGGAGTCAGTAAAATATCCGACTGACTATTAGGGCATCAGTGTGCTATGCTGCAGTCGTCTCTATGCTGTTATCCGACTTGGAGATCTGACCATTGAAAGTAGGTGTGGAAAAACTACAAGTGTCTTCGCAGTAGTGACTGCGTGAGATAGAATCACTGTAGGAGTAATGTTAAATGTTAAGATTAGGTGTGTAGAATACTAGACAAAACAGCCATGTCAATCCGTAAGGTAGTTAACCTTCAGCGACGGAGGTGGCTTGGACACGTGTTGCGTATGTCAAGCCAATGCTTGCCTCAGCATGCAATGTTAATTAGAGTAGAATAGAGTTGGGTAAGGGTGAGGGTAGCTAAATAAAGACGTGCCGACAGTGCATGAATTCTCTGTTGTTCTGTACTGTATTGGGAGGTGTAGACTGCCCGATTTCTTGTCATCGAGGTAAGATGAATTAATGGTTGGAGGCTCTTGGTGACATGACTGAAAATCGGTCACAATGACATAGAATTATATACTCCGTCATCTTTGAATATTTTCCCCAACATTTAATTGGTTGTTTTCTCTTCTTTCACACCTTTGTCTACGGAATACCATTTATTTCACTTGTTCTTCGCATGTATAGTGTGGTAAATTCAACCAAAATACTTCTGTGTAAGGTTCCACACTGACTTCATGTGTCAGCCTGAATTGTACTGGTTAACTGTAGATTCCTAACTAGGGTCCTCGAGATATAAGAAGAGATTTTGTGCGAGACCATTCCAAAACGATAATAATAACACACATCGATTTACTCTATACTTTAAATCTGGAAGCATCGTTTCCTTACATGTTTTCTATGCTCCCTCATTTGTTTCACTAGACTATATCACCTACTGAAGCTCATATTTATCAAACGGCGTATTCCAGTTTATAGATAACTGAGAGGCAAAATGTACAACATATAATGAGTTAGGGCTCTTAAACTTCAAAATTCTATCGGAGCAGACAGAAGTAGACACTATATATATATATATATATATATATATATATATATATATATATATATATATATATATATATATATATATATATATGACGATATGAGGGAGTTCACTTCCTTACTGAAGTCTATAAAAACTTGTGAACAGGTTTTTTTATTCTAGGCAATATCGGTATGATAGCAAAATGTTAATCGGACAGTAATTACTTAGTGACATCATAAACATGAATGCACATATAATTACCTGGTCAAACTCATACCATGACTTGTACTGTTATACAAACAGTGTAAATGTGATAATTGCTCCTGAAATATGCAAAAAATTAGTAGATATGAGCATTCAGTGAAGAACAGACACGTACACATTCTAATGGTTTTGTAAGCAAAAGACAAGTTTTTGGTGCACGTTTGTATGGATAGGTTAAACAAGTGGACAAAAGCCACAACAGGTCCGGTGTTAGAATTGTACCAAAATGAGTGTATGGATTAAAGTCTACCTAGAAAATTGTATGCATTTAGAGACATGTAGAATACATACCTTACCAAATCAAATGATTGATTATCATTTAAACATTGTAACAGTATAGTTACCAAGTCATTACAAACATCTTGACATTTACGATTCAAACAGCTGATCACTTCATCACACTTGTATAAACCATCCTTATTCTACAATAAAATGCAGAGAAGAATAAGGATTATATAAAATAATCATACAGAATTAAGGGAGGAGAAATCGAACTCTATACAGTTATTATATGTTCTAAAATCTAACAGAAACAACATTTATGTTAGTGAACAAAGAGAGAAATTGTCTTGTCAATAGCCAATACGCGATGTAAGTCATGAATTGGAGATACTATATGATAGACTTGTTCGTAATCACTTCATAACAAAATATAACTATGTCAGGAGTACAATAGTGAATAGCCTTATTAATCAACCAAAAGCTTCCAAACATCGACATTCAATGATAATATATGTGAGGTGAATCTGTAATCTGCAGTCGTAAGTAAAGTCTGTATATCCGAAAGTATGTATTGACCACTGAATTCAGTAACAGAACACATTATACACCATACTTGTCAGGCTTTTTTCGATAAGAATACTTAGGGAACCTTCGTTGAATACATTGACTTTAGTGTAGTAGGAAGTGTAAGACTTGGGGCGACGATGCCTAGTCCCCCAGCCAAGTTAATGCGCAAAACCCCATAGGTCCAGTACAAAAATATAGGAATTTGTTCTGAATGGTTCCTATACAATAGTACAAATAATTATTCTGCTGAAATGATAGCAAAACAACATTCAAGGGGACCGGACTGAGTACAATCAAGGGTGAATATCGACAAAGGTTGATAATATACATGTAACGCAATACAGGTTTATGAACTAAGCTATGAGTCATACAGCATGTAAGTGCTTATGATGCTGAATTCCACTTATGAGTAGAACCAATTTAAAAGATAGAAATAATCAATCAGGAAAAGTAACGAATGTGATTGGGGGAAGGAAAGAAAGAGTAATAATGACTCAAAAAAAGGTATCGAAGGAAAAGCCAGTCCAAGAAATCCAGTCAGTGGGTGCGAGAGGTTAGCTGCATAGGTAAATTGGTGAGTCTTTACACGTGATAAAAATGAAGTAGACAGATGGAGCGTATCCAACAAGAAGATGACTGAAGTTAGAAAGAAAGCCTAATCCACGACGGGACTCAAACGAACGACCTCTAGAAGTAGGTTTTGAAACGGGCTGGGCTACGAAAAGCCTAAGGGCGAAAGAACTAAGATATAATGACAATACACGAAATTTCTGGCTGTTGATTTGAGCTCCAAAGAAAAGTGTAGGCTTGTTGGATAGGAAAGTTGAGACAGGGGAGACATGATCGGCGACTTTCGGTGATCAGGTTCAAATCGACCTTAGATATATCCCTAACGTATCTTTATCTTAAGTTTTATATAACCTAGTTACCAGCTATTTCTTTTTTTCGTACGGGTTTCTACGTATTTTGACTACGTCAGTTTCAATTCTTCTGCTTCTAACTTGATATGCTGGTATGAAGTGTAACGCAGTGATTCGTGTCTATGTCGACAATGTCCATTTCGACTAGTTTTGGTAAAAGATGGGTTTAAAACTCAAAACTTGGTTAAAAAGTATTCTGATCTAACGATTAATTAATTCGTATCTCATATTAATATGTCATCTATTGTTTACAAAAATATTACAGTAGACATTTGAAGATCACGTTATAGGTCTTCTGTTTCGTTCTCGAGGTTTCACAATTGTATCAGTCAAGGTTTCATATTCAATACGCTCTACAAAGAAGTGTGTTTCCGATACGAATTTTTAATGTTTGAAAACAGACTTTGAAAGCTAAGTCTGCACAGAGTATGACTGACTGACAAAATTAACATAGAACCCCGTACACGAATGCATCTGCTCAAGTTGCCACGATTCACAGTAGTATACTAAGATAGGGTGGATAGAGAAAGTGATATCAAAGTACACAAAGTTGTATGAGATAATAAACAATTTCAAGATAAAGGTTAGTCCAAGTATTCAAGCTTTAGATAACGTCAAGGAGTGAATACATCTCCGCCATTGTGACCAATTTCCAGCCATGTCACCAAGATTCCTCAATCACTGACTCCTTTCGTCTCGAAGGCCCAAACCAAGTAGTCCACATCTCGCCACGCGGCTCACCCACTGGTGCTACGTTTTGATCTCTCCACTCTGAACCCTTTTCGCACCTAAATCAACTTCCCCTAGCATGCCACGTAGAAGTAGGCGATGGCTCAGTATGCGCAGTATGTGTCGAAGCCATCTCATTCGACTAAGGTTAACAACCTTATCAATGGACTTGCCTTTCTTGCCTATTGCCCTTCTCCTGACCTCAGCATTGATTACACGGTTATTCCACCAAACGCGAGCAATTCTATGAAGACACCTATGATGAAAACCCTGAAAACGCTTTATGTCTCCTACTTTAAACGGCCATGTCTCACAGCCGTACAACAGGACAGAACGAACTGCAGCACAGTATACTCGTCCTTTGATAGATAGTCGGATATCTCACCGGTACCACAGGTGACGCAAGTTGGAAAATTTCAAAAGAGCCTTCTCTATCCGAGCTGAGATTTCGTCAGTAAAGTATGGGTAGCGTAAACTTTAAAATGGCCAATTTATGCTTGTAAATCCAATGGGATTCAAAAGCATTTTCACTTGTGACTTTCTCAACATATTTTAGAAGTTTCATACCAAAATGTAAAACAGGGTATCAAATGGTTTTCAATTTATAACTAGCATTAGTAGTATTATTTATGGATGGAGGGTGATCAGTTCGGTCCAATCAACTACGGAGATTCACAAATTATAGCATGACAACTAATACTAAAAATTCTGTATGCCTTTCTATTCGCTTGAAAATATTTAAAATTTGGTTTAATATTTGTAATGACTTGTAATAACTTCCAGGTTTTTCAACTGTTAGAATAAATAGCTAACTGACAAGAACAATGTGAAGATTTAAATAATGCACGGTTTCAAGATTCTGTGCTTCTTAATAACAAAAAAGCAAAAGTAAATGTGAGTAAGGACCAAGAAGAGTAAATAAGACAATTAAGAGAATAGGAAGATACGGATCAAGAAGACTAGCAAAATTAAGAGGAAGACAGAGTTAATGTAACCACATCACAACGATAGATTCTATCACATCTTTTCCAATCACTAATAATAACACATCCAAAAGTTAACCCATCAAGAAGTGGTCTTATGATTTGATATTTCTTGGTCCAGTAATGTAGATGTACCTTGAGTTCTAGTCACTATCAAGTGCCAATAACTGCGCATGTATAACACATTCTAACAATCTCAATCTATGTGCATCTATGACCTGATCAACGAACTCAATTTCTTCACCTTATGCAGCTCTGATTCGCTGACTTAGACAGCTGGTTTTTAACCAATGGGCCTTGGGTTCAAACCTTGCTAAGTCTACCAAGGTTTGTGGAGTCAGGCAGTTTTACCAGCCGGCAAAAAACGTGTGGTTAACTGCTAGTCCATGAACCTGTCAAAGGTTTCTGAACTACATTTTATAAGCTTGTTTAACCTTAAGTCAAAAGGGCACTGAAGGAAGTTGTCTAAAATAAAGTCAACAGGAAGTTACAAATGTGACAATTAATAACAAGTGACTTACTGAAGGCAATATAAAATTAAGTATCAACTGCCATGTACCCGATTGTAAGTTTCTTCCCAATGTAAACCACTTAAATAGCGCCCTGATATCTTGAAAACAATGAAAGATAAATGAGATTACTTCTTACCCAGTTCACTTAATGTATGCCTTTTGAATAAATTTATAAATATAGTTAGTTTCTCTTGTGAAGAAGATAAGCAGTCAATTATGTTTTCATATTCTTTGATACTTAGGCAGTTATCACTGTTATGGTTATCATAGCTGAAATAATCCCAGAGAAGACCAGCTAATTCGTAGAAACATGGATTGAATTTATTCTGTGTACAACATAAACTGAGTTATATGAGCAATGAACTAACCCGAAATGATTCCTTGGAAATAACTTGCCTATCATTCTACACAGAATGAATGCAAAATATCACAGACCACTTACATAACATTCAAATCCTTTATAGGTTTTTAGTTGAGTTTGGTTTGAATTCACCCCGGGATGACTGTTAGTACCACCCATGTTTGTCACAAACTAGAATGGAAAAAGAATAGAAGTGTGATACGAGCTTTGACAACATAATTACAGGACTTAGGAAATACCACTAGAAAGCTGAAGAATAAGTTGAAGTACACCTAATCGAGGCGCACAACATTTTTTGAATTACACCTAATGGTAGGACTTTTCTGTCTACACCATGGGGAACACTCAGATCTACTGAGTCTATTCTAGCTGTCTTATCGCATGATGAAGGGTGATTTAATTCTGGCATTCGGTACCCTTATTACTGAATTCAGTACTGATACGTCTCATTTTTTCTCCCCCTACTGATTATTTCTCAGGCTGTTACAAACAAGTCCAAAAACCACTAAGCAATTAAATTAGCGTGAACCTGTGTTCAACATACCGACTAATTAACATCAAGTGGTGTCCGTCAAGGATGCCCACTATCCCCATTCTTATTTAATTTTATCATAGATATTCTTATGGAGGTTTCCCTCTCGTCACCTAATTACAAAGACGTTGACCGGACCACAGGTGAATTTTCCTTAGATCTAGAATATGCAGATGACATAGTCCTGTTAGGTGAAGACGCTGACAAGATGCAGAGTCTTCTGAACACTTTGAGTGGAAATTTGAGAATGTTTGGGATGCGATTTTCACCACCCAAATGCAAATTTTTGCTCCAGGACTGGTCTTCAGTGGTACCGCGGTTAACAATAGAGAGTGAAGTGGTTGAGTGTGTTGACCACTTCACTTACCTGGGAAGTAGGATCAACTCTGGTGGGTTAGTTGCCGATGAGATTTCTGCACGGATACAAAAGGCTCGATTGGCTTTTGCCAATTTGCGCCACCTATGGCGCCGCCGTGATATTCGTTTGTCTATTAAGGGTCGCGTGTACTGCACAGCAGTCCGCTCTGTTCTACTGTATGGCTGTGAAACATGGCCATTGAAAGTGGAAGACATGAGAAGGTTACAGGTATTTGACCACCGTTGCCTTCGTAGTATAGGACGTATTCCGTGGTGTCACCATGTGAGTAATGCAGAAGTTAGGTGTAGAGTTTTAGGGAGAAGAGGTAAGTCAGTCGACGAGGTTGTGAACCTTCATCGACTGAGATGGTTGGGACACGTACTACGTATGCCTAGTCACCGATTGCCTCGTCACACAATGTTGGCTGAGGTGGGTTCAGGCTGGAAAAAGGCCCGAGGTGGCCAGACTAAAACATGGCACCAATGTATGAAGTCTCTGACTGTTGGTTTAAGCCATGTAGGACGATGCAGACTAGGTGGTTGGGGTCCACGGGACAAGAGGAACCAGTGGTTGGAGACCCTAGGTGATATGGCTCAGAACCGAAGTCAGTGGCGCAGATGTATACACACATTATCCTCATCTTAACAACGCTATACCGAATCTCACTATTTTGTCACTCCTCTTTCCTTTCTTCTCATACTTTATATTTCTTTTGACTGCATTCACTTATCTTCATCCTTCACCTCACTACCTTTTTACTTGATGTGCTGATATGAGGTGTGGCAACTCGGACCGTTACGCAGTAATGCCTGGTCCTATGTTGATAATGATGATGATGATGATGGCAAGTGGTTTCATTCCTTCACATTTAGATATTTTTAAGGTATGTCTTAAGTAAGACACTAACACCGGATGCGTTGCTACGACATATCCCACGTAATTCGAAAGGGAACTGGATTTTCCCGAATGTACTAAAAAGCCTCTCCTTATTGCTAAAGACAAACTACCTTGGTCGAAAAATTGATGATAATTTATATATGAGACTGGTGACAGATGAAACTTAACTTTTGTTGCTGTGTACAGCAAGTATTTACTTTGGGTGCACTGTGAAAACTTCGGGCATCATTCCAAACATACTTTGGGCACACTTACACAACCTAGGAGCAGCCCCCCAAGTTTTCAATCTATTTCTTTAGACCTTCCATTATAAGGGTCTTCAAGTATGCAAACATATCCCATTACAAAGAAAGAATGCCATAGGGAATAATGTTCCAAAATACGGCTTCAAAAAAGGTTGGCTAGTTGAATTTTCAAACTTCAGCAAAATCCCGGGATATTCAAGGCTGCTGCAAATACTTTGAGTGGTGTCCCGAATTGAGAGCGATCTTAATGTGCTGCAGTTATCATGTCAATAAATACTTTGAACAACAGGACAAATTCTTAACACACTGAGCTTAGCTTCTCGTTAACAATGTTGTGAACCGCAAGAGTAAAATGACTAGTTTTTTCGGCGTGCTGCACGTAAGAACAGATTCTGCTTGCTAAATTTTATCGTGATTGTGAATGATTGCGTATCATAGATGATTGATTACCTTGAAGCCTAGGTCAGTTTTGACGGAAACAGTACCGAAATGAAATTAGAAGCACCTGTGATTTGTTATTTTGGTATCGTTAAAATTATAAGTAGTCTATGTTCAACATAGGCTTTTAAGAAGTCAGTTGCTTTTGAAGTACTGTCTGAAGTTAGGTAAGTAAGTAAGGACCTTTAAAAGTCCGCCAACTTATAAATTTATAAGTTATGTAGTGAGGTGTGCGCAGTAGCTACCGAATGAGCAATTCATAACAGTCTAAATCTTGAGGTAAAGGCTTTGAGTGCACTTATAAACCTATATAAAGACTTTTGACATGTTGAGAAAAACTTTTGGTCTTGTAGAAAGAATATGGAAACTCACAAGGTGCAGTCAAACCACACTGCGGTAATAATGCAGGCAAATGAGTGAATAATGGGCTGAATGGTGCTATTATTGCAAGCAAGACGTAAGTAATAGGATTCAGATTTGCTCTTTGAGGATAGGAGGCTGGGAGCTTATATTGATCTTTTTCCAGTAGATTTCTGTGCTTGTCCAATCAGCTTTCGGATGAGTCAGTTGATGATGCTGACACCACTTCTTCTGGGAGTCTGTTTCAGGCGTTGATTACTCGACGCTAGAATCAGTACTCTGTGGAGACTATGTTCGTTCTTTGCTTTTGTAGTCTCCTACTATTTCTTCTGAGGCGTTTCGACCTATTGGGTTGGGAAAGAGAAGATAAATCAGGTCCGAAGTCATTTCTTAAAATCCCGTATAGCATGATTAGGTCTCCCCTTTGTTTGTGATGGGGCAGAGTGAAGAAGTTCAGCTCCTTAAGTCGGTCTTGATAGGTGAGGCCAGCCACCGCAGGGATTATACGAGTGGCTGTCTTCTGAGCTCTTTTCAGGTCTGCGTCACCTTTCAGGAAAAGACCAGCCGCCTGAGTACAGTTTTCTACTTAAGACCTAACTAAGGATGTGTATAAGATGGTGAACATGTCAGCACTTATTTTCGTAAACGTTCTACGTAATACTCAGAGAGTCCTAGAACTCTAAGTTGCTACCAACCGACAGTGAGCCGTAATTTTCACGTCATAACTCATCGTAACTCCTAGGTGATTGAGGGTCAGTATCGACAGTAAATGAGTCTCATTAATATCGTAGGTATTGCTGTGTTCCTATTATTTACGCCTCGCTTGCAATATTAACACCATTTACTCCCATTATTTACGCATTCAACCGGATTATTTCCGCAATATGGTTTGACTAGGTATTTTATCTAACCAACTGGTGAAGAAACTTGGCATACCTCCGGACTCCTGGGTTCCGCAAAATCCCTTGACTGACCTTCACATTGTAACGCAAGAGACATACATGTGCCAAATACCTGTAGTGGTCCTAAAGAGATGCCAAGTAAACCAGAATGTTAAGCTATGTATAATTAACAAAAATAGATTCACTGATACACAACTATGAAAAGCTATGAGCTACAAAAACAAAATAGTAATATCTATGTTATGGTTAATAATAGGTTATTTGGATGTTATCTCCTCGGTACTGTCAATCAGTATTCAGCATACTTTAAAGTTAGTTCGGAAGGTAATACTTATTAGCTCTTCACAGCCGACGCTGATTGGCTTGACTGTCGTAATATCTGGAAGCCTGTCTGGTGAATCAGAAAGCTTTACGCATTATTAATCCTCTTGTATGTCGCACTCATAAACGCAAGGTCCGTCCTTAGCGAACTATCGTATTAAGAGGAATCGCGCTCATATATAAGCCGCCAGTAATAATTATCACCGGGTCTTGGTGTCACGCAAATATACCAGATGAAGAGGTAAGTAGTGACATGTATGCACAATTCCGATGTGACTGGAGTAACAAGAAAGGAGGAGGTTGCCTTATGTACTTCCTGAACACTCACTGTATTCCAGTTAGGAAATATGGTTCTTCATAAAGTAAGTGACTCTCTATGGGTCACATTACACTACAGAAATGTTACAGTATTGATGGGGTGTGTTTATAGAGCACCTGGTGCCTTTAAAAATCATGAGATTCCACTGATTACGGCCCTGGAACATGCATCCACTCTCCCGTATGATCATAAGATCATATGCGGTGACTTTAACCCACCTGAAATTAAGTGGGATTCATTTACTGGTCTAGCCAGGTATGACCACTTTTTCCAGACACTATTTTTTTGGCTTGAGGCAAATTAATGCAACTCCTACGAGAGGTGACATTGTATCGGACTTAATACTTTGCTACAACAAAGTTGCTATTTTGACGAACGTAGGCCCCAAGTTCCCAGGAAGTGATCACAAAACACTATTATGCGCACTACCACTTCCTGCAACTAGTACTTCAATTGTAACTTCCACTGCACGCCAAATAGTACATAGATACTACGGTAGAACGGATTGGCATCAGATGTGTCCAATGATTAAATGCATTGACTGGGGTCATTCTTCACCACAACAGACCTCAAATTAACCACAGATGTTTTACTGCAACTCTAAAACCCACCTCGATACCATCATTCCACTGAAAGGTTTCAGAAAAATACCACCAGACAATAGGCCATATATACCTCCCAATGGTCGTAGAAAGTTACGCAAACTCTCAGCAAGATACTACAGACATCACGACGTCAATGCAACTCGGTCGACTCTTGGTATTCTTAACTGTCTCGCATAACCAGGAATTGCTTTTGGAGAATGAAGGGAGTCGTGCATTAGCAAACCCATCCAGAGTATATGCTCTCTCAACACTCCTTAAGAAGCGATCAAATCACACAAGACATAATATTCCTCTTTTTATCCATGACACCAAAGCTTATAATAATCCAGTGGATATGTGTGAAATATTCAGCGACTTACTTGCAGTCAGTTATCCGGAACCCACAGATTTTTTGTGTGACACTAGTGTGGTCTGCACTTCTTAAAGCTATTCTTTTCCTCAACTAACGACAATGGATACGATTGAATTCGCATACTTTGATATTTACCAAGCCATCAGAAAGCTAAAATGCTCCAGCAGCGATGGCACAGTGGGAATATCATCACATTTCTTTAAATTTGTTGGCCCTAATATTCCGTCGTCATTACTCAAAATATTTTCCCTCTCTCTCGAATTTTCACATACCCTGATATACGGAACACATCACTTATCATCCCTGGTTCAAAAAAATAGCCGGTAACTACAGACTAATAAATATTAAGTCAGACGTTTCTGGAATTATGGAGAAAATTACTAAGGAAAGCCTTCTTCAGCACATGCTTAGTGGTAACATCATCACCTCGAGTCAACATGGGTCCCTAAAATCGGGGTTCTACATAACTTGCCATCTTGACTTCTTTAACTTTATAACACTATGCGTGACCGACTTCAGTCAGTCCTTGTACCCTATCTAGACATTTCAAAGGCATTCGACGGAGTCGATCACTTGCTGTCAATAAGTTGATGACTGTAGGAATTGACTATCCGCTATTGGGGTGGATTAAGTCTTTCCTCAGTAATCGCACTCAAGTGGTGAAGGTAGATTCACGCACTTCAAAACATAGGCCAATCACCCCTGGTATTGTTCAAGGCAGTGTATTGGGCCCCCATCTCTTTACTTTATACGTCAATTACATCTGTAGCTGCTTTACATACGGTAAACCATTCTTGTTTGCTGATGATCTAAAAGTTGCATACACATTCACCCATGATAATTTATCCCACTTCCAGGCACTAATACAAAGGGAGCTCGATATAATGTCCGCACGGTCTGCGGCTTGGAAACTGCGGTTTAATATAGGCAAATGTGGCCGGATATGTCTTGGTACACCATCGGTGGATGTCCAAGTACATCTACAGTCTACGAAACTTCCTGTTATTAAAAGTGTATGTGACCTTGGACTAAGATATTCAAGGGACCTCATGTATATATATGACATATATAAAACTTGCGTACGCCCACTAGAGGTACAAGATATTGTGAAACACTTCACAAGTCATAGTAGCCTTTTCACACTTCTGCTCATCATTGCACGGTCGTTGCCGAAGAAAATTTCTGACTTGAGAACGATAGTCTTCTAACTAAGCCTACAGTGATATTAGTCACTGAATCATGGTGCCCCACCTCAGTCCTTGATGTAGACTTGTGCATAGATAGTTATACCTTTTATCGCACTGACCGAGATCAAAGCTTGGAGGAGGTTGTTTGATTTGTATGTGCAGCCCGTCGCAGCTAATAAGATTGAAGATGATACATTGAATGCTCTGCCTGACTCATTATGGGTTATTTTAAATTGCACTAACTATAAAATCCTCGTAAGCTGTGTTTATAGAACACCATGTTCATCAAGGGAAGCTGATGAGCTCATTGCTCAGTCATTTTCCCACGCTGCATCCATCAGCGCTGACTTCAAACTGATTGCAGGAGACTTTAACCTGCCTGAAGTTAACTGGGAAACCAGCTGTGGCCCACAGCGCTATGATGAAATACTTGCTGTCTTAGATTTCCATGGATGGAAACAATATCTCCACTCACCCACACGTGGAAGCAGTACGCTGGATCTAGTCTTCTGCCATGACATCGTCCCAGTCACCAGGTACGTTGGTGGTGAATTCGCTAACAGTGATCATGGAATGGTTTTCTGTTGCCTGCCAATCTCCTCTCTTCGTGAGGAAAACAAGGAACCCATGAGAGACATCTTGTACCGTAGCTACAGAGGTATAGACTGGGACGTATACATCGAGCTCCTCGGGTGCAGCCCATGGGATGAGTACTTCATGACAGACTCATTAACAGAGTCACTTTCGTTTTTCCATAGAAATATAATGCTAAGTCTAGATATCGTTGCTCCTATGAGAGCAGCTAGGGTGAAGAAGAATGAGGTACAATACATCCCTCGAATACTTCGGAACAAATTACGAAAATTATCTGGGCTACATCATTCCTCTAAAGACTTTCTGGTGGTGCACTCAATCTACGATACTTATCGAGCAATTAAGACTCTACGTGCACAAGACTCAATAAATGAAGCGCTGAATGCCTTCAAAAGTGGTTCTAGGATACATAGTCTGACCTCCTTTTGGAATAAACGTTTGCAGGCATCGAGAGACATAGCTTGTTCATTACACAACGGAATGGTGTGTAACGATCCCCTCAAAATTTGTGAACTACTTGGCAAATCGTTCGCAAAATTCAGTCCCAGCACACTTAACCCCACCACTTTTTCACTGCTCATCACAGTTTCAAGCGCCAATGGGAATTTTACTGCCAAAAGTATCACAGAGGCTATCATGAACTTGCGACTGTCAACAGGTATGGGAATCGACAACCTAAACTCAATTGTTATTAGAAACAGCAGTGACTACACGTCTCCGTTTTTGCTTAAGATATTCACCCTATCAGTGGAAAGTGGCGTATACCCCACTGGATGGAAAACTAGCTACATAACGCCTCGCTATAAGTCCGGAGACAAATCGGACGCCAATAGTTGGAGACCCATCAACATAGCACCAGTCCTCTCTAGAATTATGGAAAAAGTGATTAAGAGCAGCATCTCTGATTACCTATTAATGAAAAACCTAATCACAAAGTCTCAGCATGGCTTCATAACGAATAGGTCCCGCGTTACTTGCTACTTTGATTTCTTCAACTTCAACACTAGCAACCGTGAGGCACGCAAAATCGTCATTGTTCTATACTTTGATATATCAAACGCATTTGATAAGGTGTCTCATAACGTACTTTTTAATAAACTACAATCAGTTGGTATTTGCGACCCCTTACTTAGTTGAATAAAACCGTTTCTCATCGGTCGTGCTCAAATCGTGAAAGTAAACTCCGTGTAGTCTGAACCCAAACATATAATTAGCGGAGTTATACAGGGCAGTGTCCTTGGGCCCTTGTTGTTCACAATTTATGTCAACAGTGTGTGTGACTGCTTCAGTGAGGGAAGAACATTTTTATACGCCAATGACTTGAAGGTTGTGTACACTTGTCACTCTCATGAGCTACGTAATACTCTGGATACTGCCCGGCAGGAACCGGGTAAACTTGCATCGTGGTGCGCTGAGTCCCACCTTGAATTCAGCAATGACAAATGCTGGTGGCTTACTATAGGCAACGACAACCATGACCTAACCCTCGAGGCATGCGGAAAACAGCTACCTAGACTAGCTTCTGTGTTAGATCTTGGTATCAAGCATTCCAGAGACTTGACATTCTCAGAACAAACAGCATATATCAGATCCAAGTCACGCAAACTCCTGGAATGTATCATTCGTAAGCTCTATAGCACTGAATCACGGGTTCTATCCTATAAAGTGTGCATTCGCCCACTTTTAGAATGATGTTTTTTCATTCTCAGTGGCCTCCGCAGAAGTGATAAACTGA